AATTTCAACCCACTCGCATATTGGTGGTTTGTAGAAATTACTGTTAGGTTGTGTTGCGATTAAACCGCATCTATAACAGTAGAAAAAGATAAAGCGACGCGATATTGTCTAAAGGGCAAACCCTTCGAATCCAACTGATCAATAGACACGCCCGCTTAAAAGATTCATGCATCCTTTGCCACCACTTTTACCTTTCAACTTTCAATTCTTACAAGGAGTATCAAGTTTGTGTGTAATCTTTTGCACAGGAGCTTGCGAATAATAATAACGAACGTGAACAAAAAACAATAAACTTCGTATTGATATCGTGAAAATATTAGCTTTCGTGCCGCAAACGGCCTCAATGGAGTTATTAAATAATGCGGCAATGTTTGCGGATTAACTAGATATAGGACTTAATGGAGCAGCGCAATATTCGCGATAACAACATTTGGAAAGTCCGCCGCCGCGTTGAGTAAATCTCTGCAAACGGAAAACTTTTCAGGTATTTACAGAAATTGGAGCTTGTTAATCCTCTATTGAACGACTCGCTGGACGAACGGCGTGACTGTCAAATATCAAATGAGATCGCTACCGAAAAACTTGGAGTTATAATCTAACTTAAGAGTTAGGGCTCAATTTCGGACAAACGCGGCAGATTTTGAGACGTGGGCAATTACGCAATAGGTGAGGGATTCCGTAATTAACGGCTGGTGGTGAACCACGATTTACGGTAATCTTAACCGAAATCCAATTCTGGCAATTTCGTGATTTAATTAATGTAGTAACCTCTCACCCGCTTCCTGCCATTTATTTTGTATTACCGAAACACATCGACTTCTATTGTATGGGTAACATGCCGGTTTCTCTCTATCTATTGCAGCTTTGATGGGCAGCACCCCTAAACTTTCAGATAAAACGATCATGATCTCTTAACCAAGTTTATACTACAACCGTTCTGGGTGGTACTTCCACACTTTCGGATGAAGTGATTATGATCTCATAACTGTTCTACAGACTTGCGGAGTACATGATAAGTAAAGAACTTGTCAGTATCAAATGTAATAGAGATGAATAAATTGGTGGTTGTGATAACTTTGACACTGACTCTTTTCGACCACTTATCGAGCAAGAATTTTACCCCGAATAGAACAAACTCGCAAATTTAAATAAAATTTAATTGTATAAATTCTTCTTTCGTTTGTGAATGGAGTTTTCGTGTAAGGTGTTCGACTAAAAGTTTAAGATTTGATATAACTCGGGCTGCGGGTTGGAAAGCAAAAATATTTCTTAAATTCACAAAGTATGGCACTAGAAATAACTTCAAATCGAGCCAGGAATCGAGACGGCATGCACGACTCGTATAAAATATTTACACCAAACCCGTAGATTATAAAGCAATTTTGTTAAGCTACTAGATCGAATGGCATACCTTCGGGGTGGATTTATCAGATAAAAACGGATAGATAAAATTTATTAGGTATTTTAATGCACAGTAAAACGCTATCTTTCAATTTCCTTTGTGTTATGACTTTCTGTCATATTTTAAGGTTAAGGTCCCGACGTAATCAGGGCGAGTTGAGTACCAATTATATTGTGTATCCAAGACATTTAGTATCAAATTAAATGGGGACCTGTAAAATATCTTTAATGGAAACAAGAATTACAGACACCACCCTGATGTACAAGAATCTCTCGTTTCAAATGATAACAAGACGACATTTGGTGGGACTTAATCGAATAGGGCACAGGGGAACGGTTTATAAATAACGAGTGCAAGTTAACAGACTTTCGGCTACAACAATCAAAGACTCCACCTCTAATACTCTAATTCTAATTCTGAGCTGGCACCGGATTCTTCATGTACGCCTAATAACGTGGGGTTTGCAGAATAATAACCGCCTTAAATACTACCAAAAAGTCAATACCTCAAACTCTTAAAAAAAAGAGATATCTGAAGATTCTGAAGCACCAGATGAATCCCAAACACTTGAGAAATCCGAAGAACCCGAAAAAAAATAGTGAAAAGAGAGAAAAAGGTGGAGAAGAAGTAATATAGTTACGCACGATTACAAAACCTAAACTGAGACTCACGCAGTCCTACCTTAAGAGATGAAGGGGGGTATGGAATGCCCCCCAGTATATGAAGGTTCAATTACCTTTTCCCAAAGACAACTGCGCGAGTCATAAGGGAAAGTAATAGGGAAAGAATTATCGAGGAGTTTCCTTTGCTGGGACTACTGCTGGGGGAAGTTGAAAAGACAGTCGTATCTTGGCTCTAAGTTCTGTGGTCTTTTCACGAAAGGTTTTTGGGGAAGAACTTGTACCGGGGGGTCTGGGAGTTTTTCCCAAAGCCTACTACGAAAGTGCTAGAGTAATAGAGAAAGGATGATCGAGTCCTCCTTTGCCGAGAGTACTGTTGGGGGTACTCCATACTCTTCAGACCTCCAGGAACTACGTTCTTTCTTCAAGCTTATTCGTCAAAACCCTCATGATTGTTTTAGGAAAGGACAATTGTACCTTGTTTGATGTTCTGTGGTGTTCTCAGAAAAACTATCATGAAACGTTTTTGTAGAAAACGTAGTACCGGGAGATCTGTGGAGAAAGAATTATTGAGTCCTCCTTTGTCGAGCGTTCTGCTGGAGGTATTCCATACCCCCCAGATCTCCCGGTACTACATTCTTTGTTCAGGTGTAGCCTTCACAACTTTCATGATGGTTTTTGGGCAAGGACTAGCGTATCGTGGTCCTGTAGTATTTTCTCCAAAATTTTCATGAATCGTTTTTTGCGACGAACGTGGTACCAGGTGGATCTGGGGGGTCGTGGCACAACCCTCTCTCCCAGTTCCATTGTATAAAGGTTCAACTACTTTTTCCCAAAGACTCCTACGAAAGTGCTACTCTAATATAGAGAAGGAATTATTGACGCCAACTTTGACGAGGGCACGTCTCCCTAGCCCCCCCCCCCCCCCCCCCCGTACTATGTCCTTCCCTCAAGGCTCTCATGGTGGTTTTTGGGAAAGGACAGTCGCATCGTAGTTTTAGTTCTGTGGTCTTTTCTCCAAAATTATCATGAAACGTTTTTGGGGAAAAACGGGGTATTTCATACCCCTCAGACGCTCCGGTACTACGTTTTTCCCTCAAGTTTACCCTTCAAAACTGACATGATTGAATTTGGGAGTCTGGGTGGTATGGAATACCCCCCCAGTATATGAAGATTCAAGTACCTCATCGCAAAGACTTTTACGAGAGGGCTAGAGTAAAGGAGGATGGATTATCGAGTCCTCCTTTGCCGTGGGTACCGCTGGGGAGTTTTCCATACCTCCCCCCAGACTTCCCA